TCAGCCTGCACAGCCCTGCAGCAATGACAACTGGCCCAGAGAGAATACAGAACCACTCTTGTGTGTGAAACCAAGTCATGGTTGGAGCAACGTGTGAGTTCATGTGTTTGCTGTGTGGCTTTGCAGTGGGCAAAATTTCAGAGAATCGGAATGTGGGATCAAAAAATAGAAGAAAGAGAGGGGAAGAAGCAGAGGGATAATGGCAGACTGGAGTTCAAAGAGGATCTTGTTCCCCCTTTATTGAAAATATGATTTCAAATGTGAAGTAATCGTCTCCTGGGCCAAGTTTCTTCCTCAAAGACCAGTGCAGAAGTTTCCCTCTTTGTCAAAGGGCCTCCTTCTCCATGGCAGCCTTTCCTGAAGGGGAGTAGGCAGCAGGAATGAGCTGGCCCAGCTGTGGACCCATCCTGTGGCTCCTATCCTACCTTGTTACTCAGGCATCACTGCCAGGGCTTCAAGGTGCCTGGGGATGCCCCTCACAGCCCTTCTGCTGTGAGAAATGGAATGTTTGCAGGACCAGAGGATTCCCCTTTCACCCAGGGAAGCTATACATAGGAGTATTTTACACCTATGGCCTCGTGGGGTCCTGCAACATGTCATTTCATAAAAGTAAGAAGGAGACTGATCCTTTACAAAGCTGGCTAGCTCTCATCCCTGGATCAGAATTCAGGTACAACATGCCTGTGACTCTGCAGCTTCTGTGAAGTCTGTTCTCATTCTGAGCTGAGTGCCAGTGCTGCCAAAAGCAGGGCAGCTTCTCCTCTTGTCTTTTAATGGGGTGCAGGTCTTGTTTTCCTATGGTGCTTGGAGCATATCTGTTTCCAGGCTGGCTTGTTCTTTTTTGTTCAGGCTAAGATAGAAAGTGAAAACTGGTTAGGTGTTCCTGGAGGTACAGAAGTGTTGGAACACCACTTTTCTGGGTGGCTTACTTGAATCTGTCCCTCCAGCTCTTCAGGTGGACAGACTGGACAAATCAAGGAAAGGAGAAAGACATCTCACTTGCTATAATTATTTTCTAGTGACAGAAATTTTTGGTCCACATTAAGAAAACCAGGGGAAAGTGAGGGTCACTATTCTTTTACATTGATACTTTGGCCATTTTTCTCCCCTTTCCAGAGAAAATTTTGAAATACCATAAGAACATATTAGGCTGTTTCCTTTTTCTGATGTCACCCAGAGTCATGCTGGTGTTCCAGGAGCCTTTCTGTTGATCTCCTCAGTGACCTCCCACTAGGACAATGCCTGAGGTGCTGCTCCTCAGCCACCTCTCCACCTGAGATGTTCCATGACCCGGGAGGCACTGGAATACCAGAACACATGCAAATAATCTTTTCTGTACAGGGGAGAAAAAAGAAAGAAGGGAAAACTTTCCATTTCCTTTTGACCGAAAGCCAAACTTTTCCAAAGAAAGTAAACAGTTTCCATGAAAAATTTCAATTAATTGCAAACCATATTTCCAGTAAAACCTTCATATCAACAGTTTTGTGTCTGTTCTACTCTAAGCCTTTCAAAGCACAAGACCTTTAAAACTCATACAATGTTTTCTGGTGGGAAAAATCTGTGAAAAATGGTGCAATTGTCAAGTTTCAGTGATTACGTGCACTTCCCACCACCCTGTGAAATAGAACTGGATCCAGAGTGAATCCAATGGCTTTATGTTTGTAGGCCAAACAGGCCAGTGTGCAATCTATCTAAAAAGACTCTCTCAGCCTCCCCATAATCTGTTAATTAACTGCTGATAAATGGTGGGCTTAATCCTAGGTGGGAGAGTGGGGGTTTAATCCCAGTGCTGTCTGGCACGGCCTGGGGGCTGCACAGCTGTGCAGCGGCTCTGGCACCATATATGCTGGTCCCATACAGCTGTGGGTGTTTGCCTTTATGGGGAGCAGGGAGGGGACAGCTTTACAGTAAATCCAACCCTTACTGTTCCAAAAGCTGCCTGTTTTTAGCAGCCAGAGTCCAGAAGAAAGGCTTTTTTGCCCAGTTCAAGGAAAGTCTATTTTTTCCTGCTGACAAGCATCTAAATCACTTTGGGACGCACCAGACATCCCAATGACGGTGTCGCCGCTTTTCCAAGGCTTGGCTCCACCTGGCCACCCGAAGCCTGAGCTTGGGATCTCCCTCTGCAAGTCTGGACAACACCCAGCCTCGATGGCCTGAGCGGTGCCAGACCTGGAGCCTCTGCTGACTTCCCGCTGGGAGCTCTCCCAATAAAACCCTTGCTCACTTGAGAGTTTAGAACTGCTTGTCGAATTACCTTTGTCTGCAGCTCAGACCGGGGTTCCTGCATTTGTGCTGACCCTGTTCCTGTCTCCTGCCTGTCCCTTAGCTGCCTGTCTCTGCTGGTTTCCTTCTCTTCCGGAGGGCCGGGCACGGGAGCGCGCACGCCGTGGCTGCCGCGTCCCCTCGTGCCCCAATGGCTGGAGATGTGCCGAGGGGCTGCTCCCCACTCCGCCCTGTGCAGGTCCCACCAGGCTTGGTGGGGCTGTGTTCCACAGGCTGCCCCAGCCTTTGTGTGTCAGGGACAGAAGAATAGATGGTACAAGGCCAGTCAAACAGCTCAACAATATGCTTTGTCCTGCGCCTGCTGTCCCTTGAGAGCTGCTCTCAGTGGAGCAAGCCTGGTCCTCTCCAACTTCATTTAGGAGGTGGCAGGCTTGGATTCCCTCCAGCTACAGCATGAACGCTTATTGCCCCTTTTCCTTTCACAACGGGGTTTTGAGGGATGATGGCTCTGTTACTTCTGTCTCCCTTCACTGGCAGCAACATCCTCATGTGCACAATGGAAGTTGAGAGCTGGCAGCTGCGGGGATTTGTACATAGAGTGGCTGCACGTGCATCTTTCTGCTGCTCCTGTTGGGCTTGAAGCATTCATGATGTGAGGCAAATTTCAGCCTGAGCTGTCAGCAGTGCTCCACTTCACCAAATGCTCTTACTCTTTGACTGGAGTATTTTCAGGGCTACTCACTGTTAAACATGTTGCCTTTCACTTTAGCAAGTGGACAGACACCAGTACAGTCTTTACCCCACGATGAGCTCTGTGCTGCTTTATTCATCCTGTGATAGTTCTAAGTATATATAAGGTGTGTGTATATGTGGTTGAAACAGTATTGGACCATTGAGGGAAAAACCAAGGTTTTAGAGTGAGAAATATTTATTTATAATTTAACACCCAAAGATTACATGGTAGCTATGAAAAGTCAATTTTCAATTCCAAATTATCTGCCTTTAAAAAAAAAAAAATATCATGACATAACAGAGATATACCGGTGATTTATTTGTCCTGTCAAAAGTGCTTTGATTTTGGAAAGCTGTGAGACTCACAGCAATCACACAATTACCAGCCAGCCACAGGATGGAGAGTGCCTGTGCAGAGCATTCATTAAGTATGCTGTAATCATGATCTGATTGGAAGCAGGTCAGGGAAACAAAAAGGGCTAATTTTGGGTAAAGAAATAATTTTCTGTGAATAATTAGGGTATGTATTAATGGGTAAAACATTTTGAAATGCTAGCTGCTATGTAAACATGGTTATAATTGTAATTAATGGAGTGAGGAAGTATTTTGACAGACAACAGTCAAGATGAACTTTTCCTAGGAACAGTTTTCCACAGAGGAGCCCAAGTATGGAGGGACTGTCTGTGCACATGTACAGAGAATGCAGATGGTGTTTCAGCCAGCAGAAGTGATATCAATAAGGCTGCAGTTTTCTTTGTCCCACACACTTTTGCAATCCCAGCGGGCCCACAGGAGGCCAAGTCTTGCTCGCCCACGTTCTCAAGGCTGCAGAGAGCAGCAAGGCAGGAGGCTGTTGGGATGTTCTCAGTCAGGCAGCCTGCAGCTGGCCCTGGTGGCAGCTCCCCTGGCCCGGAGGCAAGGCTCTGCCCAGCTCCCTGCCTGCTGCCTGGATGCTGATGCTGGGCTGTCACCCTCTGCCTGCTTTATGAGAAAAGGAACAGAGTTTTGGCATTTGCCAGCACTGATATTTTGAGGAAAGCACATGCTTTCTTAGGAGTTGTACTATTTTTGGTCAGAAAACTATAAACCCTCAAAATGTCTGTCCCAAATTTCTCCAGTACAATAGCAGTTTCTTTTTCCCTTTCCTTTTTTTTTTTTTTTTTTTTCTGTGAGAGAGTAGGGAGGATTCAGTAATTTCCCGTCCTAGTCCAAAGGCTCTTGAGTTACATTTAAATTTTTAGTGCAAAATCAGTATTTCTTCTACAAGAAGGAACTTGTTTCCTAATACCTTCAGTTTAACACCTGAGCGTAGAGTGCTGATTTTTGGAAGGTGTGCTGTGAATAAAAGAGAAGGAAGGAGAGAAACTACCGGGAAACCTTAGCCCAACTGTACCTTAGGACAAACCTCGCATGCAGGTCTCCGCCTAAAAGGGCTGTGACAGCTGTGCCATTGGTTCGGCGGGGCTGAGCCGGTGATTTTGCTCTTGGGCTGATTCCCCTCTGCTGGCAGTGCGGAGCAGCGCTCCCGCTCCCGCTGCCCCCGAGCGCCCCGGACCGCTCCCGCTGCCCCCAGCGCTGGCTCGGAGAGCACGGGGGGAGGATGTGCCCCACTGCCCCTCCCCGCCACACCGAGAGAAGACGGGGTTTGCACATCCCCAGCCACTCACAAAGAGCTCACACGGGCAAAAAGCGGTTTTTTTGCAGAAGCATTTCTGAAATGTTTTGGGAACTCGAACTGGGCAGCATTAAAAATATCCAGCAATATAATCAATCAATATCCAGCAATATGCATCTTGTTTGCATTTCAAAAGCCAGTATATTAGTTTGAAATATTGTCTCTCATAAGCGCAGTTCTAAAAACCCCCATGTTTACAATTGAGGATGAAATTTCCTTATGATTTGATTTCAAATGTATTTCAAGTCTTGATATTGGGGCAGATGGGGAAATCTTTCCTTTTCCATTTTTCTATTTTTTTCCTTCTCCTTGTTGCCCTTCTCATTTTTCCTTTTCTCTTCTACTTTGATTTTCTTTCTTTTTACAGAAACAATTTGCCTAAATCACTGAGGGTTCTCGAAATGCTTCTCTAACCTAAGTTTCCATTTTGACTGCAACAAGAAGTCCTTTGCTGGAGATGGACTGCATGCTGCAAGGTGGTGCAAGAAGGGTGGGAACAGAAGTAAGTGACAGCCAATTTATGAGGTTCCACCTTGTAAATTTATGTGAAGGACAATAAAAGCAGTTTTAAGGGTGTATCTGTATGGCTGAACTTTAATCCATGATAGTGCCGCAAAAGTCCCATTTCCTCTGTTAGCACAGGAGCTCTCTGAACCATAGAGTTTCTGGAAAGGTACTGAAATCAAAATCACTTTAGAGGTTTTTTTAATGGCCATATAAACTAACCTGGGATTGTGAGATTCCTACTAGGGCGCCAAGTAAAGGGGACACCTTATCTTCCCACTGTGGTGACCTGCTGATAAAGTCCAGCTGCTGTGCATAAGAAGCCACAAAATACTTGTTTATCTTAAATGAAGAATTTCCCCAAATCCCCTAGATAAAACAGGGCGTCCAGTAGGAATTTGGCTCAGATGGAGTGTTCCTCATCATTTTACTTCAGCTGATGAGAATAAGTCTTTTAAAATAGAGTAGCAATGCTTTTAGGGATGGCCAAAGCTCACCCAGATTTTGCCACCTAAATGTTAGTTCTTTACTTATCTCAACACCTTGGTGCCATCAATAGCCAGATGATACAACATGTCCAGTGTGCCACTGGAGCTGGGATGAAAAGTCCCATGGAGTGCATTTACCCTTTGATTTCACATATCCAGGACCAACTGCTGGACTCCCACACTGGTGGGGTGTAAGTATCTTGGGGTACTTACATACAGTATCAGCTGACCAGGGTAGGTCCAAGCAAATCACCACTCATAACTTACAGGTTCAAAAGACTCCAGGTGAATGTCTTATTAGGAACAAACTGAAAATGTAATTGCACCACTTGACTGGGCCATGGAAAATCCATGTCCTGGTTTTGTTCCAGTCCCTTTGGCTATGATATCTCCTTACGTTCTGAAGGATCAAAAAAATCCTACTGTCCCCTAGCTTCAAATGACAGCTTGTGCCTGGTGTGTGAGAAGCAGCACTGCCTAAGAGTGAATGGTTGATTATAGAGAAAATATCCACCTCTGGGCTGAGTTCCAGAGCCAACAAAGGTTGACCTTCCAAAAAGTGAAGAAAAAAATTTGACAAAGGCAGTAAATTAGATGCCCTCTGTAGCTGGCAACACTTCTTCTAGTTGTCACTTTCCAGAGAGAATATGTGGCCTTTATTCAGCCCCCTCCCTGTGCAGGAGATGGTCCATTGGCACCTGCCCTGGCTCTGCCTGGCTGCAGGCTGGCAGCAGAGAGGAGGGCCCAGAGCTAGAGCAGCTGATGGCTTCATGGAATTTAGCCTGAGAAGTGGAGCTTGGATCTCACTCACATCCTGCCAGGCAGGATTTGCTCTGCAGGCCACATGACTTTTAATATAGGGCTGGGGATTTAACTCCAATCAGAGCAAATCCGAGCCTGGAATCTGTCATGCCATAAATTCTCTCAGCTCTTAGTCCTGCCATATCTTCACAGAGGATGCCAGTACAGGTCTGCTCTTGTCTGGCAGAGGGCAAAACTGTGTCCCCTGGTGACACAAACCTGTTTGTCCATTCACAGCAGTGTGCAGCGGTGCTGGACTGTGGCCCTGGCTGGCTTTTCTCGTCTCCAACCTGCCGGAGAGCACAGAGTGTCGTGTGGGAGGGTGGCTCCTGCGAAGCAGCTGAAATAGCTGCTGCTGTAGAGGCTGACAGCTGCTGGAGAAGCCTCTGCTTTTGCCCCCCTCCCCTCTGCCGTGGGCTAGCTGCTCGCTGTGAGGAGACAGATTTGTTCTATTAAAAGTGTTTTCCCGGATGGAGGGAAGTTCTCATGCACTCTGCCCTGGCCACCCCTGACCCGCGCTGGATCCGATGTGAGCAGCCTTTCATTCGGCACAGCTCGGTGATTGGAAGCAGACCCGAGGGGGAGACTCTCACGTGCTCTCCCCAAAAAGAACCGGGGCACTGAGCATGTTTGGGCAGGCAGAGGTGGTCTCAGTCCTGGGGCTGCATGGGCAGGGCCACCACCCAGCTCCTCGGGGCACAGGCACCCCTCAGGCCTCTCTGGGTGCAGCCTCAGGAAGCCTCTCCAGCTGCCTGCTGGCTCTGGGAAACAGCACTTGTATTAGCAGCCAGGGGAATTGAAGCTGGGGGTTTCAAAAGTTTTAGGGACAGAAGTTTGGGGGGTTTCAAAAGCCTGGGTTTATCTCTGTGGGTTTTGCTGCTGTCCTGTGCCACCAGGATGAGAGCACGCCCTTTGTGGGCTGCACAAAGAGTGGCTCACTGCCCTGCCAGCCCCCAGCCCCTGGAGCAAGCCTGTCCCTGCTGTGGCACCCACAGCAGCACAGGGGGTGTCCCGGGCAGCTGCAGAGCTGGTGCCTGAGCCACTTTCCTGGGCCTGGGGAGGGTGGTGGTCCCAGAGGGGAGAAACACAATGCTGTACTCCCTTCTTCCACAGAGCTCACACATTACAAGGTGCTGGGAACGATTTTGCCATGGAAAGACCACGGGAACTTCTTGAAACAAAACTTCAAGAAAACATCTGGCTATGCTATTGCAAACAGAAGGATTTGGGAGAAACTATAGCTGTAACTTTCAGTTAATGAAGAAAAACTTTTGAATGCTAGCAAGAAATTAAGAAACCTCCCATTTAAAGCCAGCAAATTAGTGTGTCAAAACAAATCTGACATGTGTAAATTATTTATGAGGCAATACATCACAAGTAAGCTCACCCAGGTAGAACCTAATTCTGTCTCTGGTGGAAAACAGAGCTGCAGCAATAAATACCAGATAAACACCTGTGTGCCTGCTTAGGTGAGATGCCAGCACATCACCACACATTCGTGGCAGGTCCCATCAGTGCCACTGAACCCGGGGAAGTGACATTCCAGTGTATAGGTTATGTCCCAAATAACACCTTGTTTTTTAATAGGGGCAGTGGGGCATAAGTTTACCAGGAGAAATTTAGGCATAAAAGGTGAATGCTCCAACAATCATCTGTGAGCTGGGCAGTGAGCAGAGAGTCTTCTAGCAGCAGGCAGGAGGCAGTGGTGGCAGTGAAGGAAAGCTGCCAGGAGCTTGTGGGGTCTCAGTGACAGAGGGAAATGAAGTGATTGCTCACTGCCACAGCAGTCTGTGGCACTGAGAAAACTACTTCATTTCCCTGCTTCTTTTCATAGCGAGGCAGAAAGATTTGCTAGTTCTGAAGCCAAAATATTTTGCTAGTAAAATGTCTCATGTTCTCACATAATTTTGACAGGATCTGGATTCTGGGAGTTATTTTTCAGAGCCACTTACAAAAGGCAGACTCAGTTTCTTCCCAGGGAAAGCTCTTATCAGGGAAACATCCCTCCAATGAGTTTCCTCTGCAGGGACATATCCTGGGAAATGGATTTAATTTTCCCGTTGTTTGTGACATCTAATTTAGAAAGAGAAGGATAATTTTCCATCTGCTGACACTTAAACATTCCTTCACCTGAATGAATCCCACTGGCCTCTTCTCAGGACTGTCCTCTGATTCAGATACCTGGAGAGCAAAACTCTCTCCATGTAAAGAATTTCTTTGAACTCCTCCCAGAATGTCTTGCATTGATCCTCACTTGGAAGGGAAGCCAGGCAGCACTTTTAGCTCAAATTTATGCTTGGACCACTGGTGCACCCAGTGATTAAAGAACTTGACCAAGGTCATATGGTGAGTCTGTGGCAGAGCAGAGGTTGGATTTTGAGATTCAGATTACTGCCCTCACTTCTGGTCACCTTATCTTCTTCATATCCTCATTGCTGCCTTTTCCTCCCATATAATAGTGACTGGATTAACTTGTCAGATAAATGTCCACTCAAGTAGCAGTTAATTGCAAGCGAGAAAGTCAGGATGTGACACTTAAACCATGAAGAGTTTATGTGAAAATTTCCTGGGAAATTTTGTGCTCTCTTCATTCCTACAAGAGTACTCAAGACCCCTTCTCCTGCCAAGGATAGCTGTGTCTACCCTAGTGTGAGACAAACACACCCCCTCAGGTTGTTGGTGAGCCAGATTTTCTGTGGCAGCCGTGGCTTCAGTCACTCCCCCAGCCCAGCTTTAGGGTTAGCAACAAACCATGAGCTGGTGCTGCCACTATGGGACCTCTTCATTATGGCATGTGCCAGACCTCACCCTTAACAGCTCACACATTACCTGTAATGACTGCACCTTGCATGCCCCTAAAAACCATAAATGCTTGTCTGAAGTTAAAAAGGGCATTTACAGAAAGATTTTTATGCATGCCTTGAAAGAAAAATGGTGCACTGTGTACTTGTTAGTTTTATTTGTCACATTGAGCAAACGTTTGACAGTCCAAGCAAATTCCTTCTGTTAGCTCAGAACATGGTTACTCCTGCAGCATTTTATAAACCTCTCTTGGCAGTGGTACAAAACACAGAGAAGTTATTGAGGCACATTCCCTGCAGCTGTTGTAATCTTTACAAACTTATTTCTTATTTCACCAGGGGAATAAAAATAATGATATTCGTAATAATAACAATGATGATGATGATGACATAGTTATTACATTTTCATCAGAGGATCTCTGAGCACTTTATAAACTACAGCTAAGCTTCAAAATAAATAATCCTGCAGGACATGTAAGTACTATATTGCATTTTGCATGGTCCCATTAGGCTACAGAAAAGATAGTACAAATCCTAACTTACGGACTACCTTAACTTTAAACTTTCTTTTAACCATGATGTTTAAAAATGAAGTAGTCATCTTCTCAACACTTTTCAGAATTAAAATTTCCATCTTGAAATATTCTGTAAAAGTCTAAAACTGAGTCATAAAATATGAGAATATGTGGGAAACCCCCTCAACCATTATGTTGTTCTCAACATAACTACTTGAAGGTGTAAAAAGTGGCAATATTCTTATTTTTGAAATACTGCTACTGTGCTAAGTAAAATAACAAAATGCTCAGACCTGTATATGGTCAAATCTTTTAATTTAGAAAACACTTTTATTTATAACTATTGGAAAGTTTGTTTTTAAAGAATCTGAAGATGATTTCTACTTAACCCCT